TCCATATGTGCATCTTAAAATCTTCTAAAAGAGCTGTGCATGATTAAGAGTTCAAAATATGAATTTTTATCTTGTGCCAAACCTTGGTGCAGACCCTTAGTGGATCCACAGACTGAAAGAAACCTCTTGGGCTACGGTTGGGCCATTTGTGTGCCTTACATGGTCATATTAGGCATGTTCATTTCCAGTGACATCACACAGAGCTCAAAGCAGGAAAAAGTGTCTGAAACTGAGTTTTCACATCAGTTTGAACCTGACCTCGATATTTAAAACCTTGGCCATGTTCAATATAGTAGAACACGGCAAAGTGTTCTATATGACAGGAAATGACCTCCGGCACGGTCGCCCCTCCCTGACCTTGGTTCTGCTGGAGGTTTCTTCCAGTTTAAAGCGAGTTTTTCCTTCCCACTGTCATCAGTTGCTCAATTGTATTATTGTAGGGTGTTTACCTTACGATATAAAGCACCTTGAGGTGATTACTGTTATGTTTTGGTGCTATATAAATGAATTAAAATAAGGAAAAGCAGAAAAGGTCTTCTTTAAAGAATATTAACGTCTTAGGTTGTAGTCCAAGAAACAGCCATTTACTCTGATTCTCTGTTGCTCCTGAACATTTGTCATTTGTCAAGCATTTCAAATTTCTCGGCATGATTCTTTGGCAGCAGGGGACCCCTTCCTAATGAAAGTCTGTCAGAAGGGTTAGCAGCACCTGAAGCCAGCATTAAATCTGTTTCTCTGTTAAAGCTTTTATATTCCCCCAAACCACCGTGAAGTCGTTCTTTCACATACCTGATGTGCTCAATATGCTGATGCAAGAGGCTTTAGGGCTGCAAGATTACATTATAGCAGAAAATGCCGTGTGAGCTTCCTGCCTGAGAACTGCACTCACCTGTTCAGTGGTAAACCCCACAGGGGGGAAGTGGTACCTAACTTCCTGTCCAGTTGTCATGTGTGAACACTTCTGAGTGCTGACACCAGTTCACTCCTGAATGTATCGTGCAGAGCAGGAGTGAAGGGCAGAGGTGGGGACGGGGTAGCGCCCGGCTGGGAGGTGACGGGCGAAGACATTTTAGTCACAGCGGGGCAGGGACGGTTAGACGGAGCCTCGTCGGCCTCGCCGCTGGGGTCTGACTGGCAAATTAGACAGCGGGAGGTTGAAGGTCAGCTCCGTGGGGGGGCTGTAGTCTGGAAAGAAGGATAAAGGGCAGTGACAGGAGCGAGGAAAATCCCACCCCCAAATGTATAATTGCTGTTTTGATGCTCTCTCAATGTTTGTTCCTGTTTATCTTATTTCTACTTCACAAGCTACTCTGTTTTCTTTTTTCTGGTGCTTTATTTTGCCAAACCAGTTTGGATAAACTACAAGGATAAACACAAGATGAACGTCTACACATCACAGATAATTGAAGTTACTTGAGTTTGAGGCTTCTGTCCATTTAAAGCAGCTGAAGTGACTTTAGTCAGTGTTTTCATGTGTGTGCATGAAGCAGTTGATTTAAATAATCAAAGCCCATCAAGCTCAGAGGGGATTTATCTTCTCTTTTAGCTTATTTTGCAGCACTTTTTTGTACTGCTCACTCTCTCCAGTCTGATCAGACTCAGGGATCGTGCTCAAGGGATTTTAAATAAGGACTGCAGAATTTCCCCACTGCACTGTGGCTTCAGAAACAAATCAATCAATCAGTCAATCACCTCTTTTTATAACACATAGTGTTATCATTTAGATACTTAATTACTGTTAAATAACCATATTAACCTGATGTAAAGTAGATGAGCCAGAGCTCTTGCGCTGGAATTTCTGCATATTTAGCGTTATTCCTCGGTTTTCTTTTCTTTTATTGGACATGGATATTTCTATTTCAAAGGTTTGGTTTGGCACATGCAGGTTTGTGTCATAATTTGGCAAAATTAGTAGAAGTTTGACTTCCCCACAATTAAATTTGCAATAAAGTTCCTAATTTGAGTCACAATTTCTCCAGCTGATGACCATGGTGTGCGGCATGTCAAAGTCATCTTTGGAGGCTCATTATCAAACATATTTCAAGAGTCCTAACATGAAATGCCACATAAACCCTCTGGAGCAAGTCAAGAGCTCCTCGGTTGCAAATAAAAACATAGACCCGATCTCCGTCACAGACGCTGGAGTGATCCTTAAAGCATGAAAAGGCCTCTAATTGCATTTATCTAAAGTCAGACCGCTGTGGAATACTAATATGGCTGTGAGGGTCTCAAAGTTGGGGCTTAGCTTTAGTGCAAAGAAAAGACTGAATCCCATTTCCTTCCCAATTCCTCCCCTGCTCACTATGGGAACCGCAGGGCCTCTCGGGCAGGATTTCCCAGCAGAAAAAGACTTTACTGTATTTGTTTATTTGCCCCAGACAGTTTGCCTTGCTGTGTGCGAACGTCTCTTCCCCCATCCTCTCGCTCGTGGCGTCTTCTCCTGCAGAGTGCTCTTGGCAGCCCACAGCCACATGCCTTTCATTGACACACACCATCCTGTCATAAAAATGCCAGCCGGCTCAATAAGGAGAATGTTTGTTCGCAGCGTTTTGGAATTCCCGTCTTGCCTTTCCTCCAGTTGAACCCCAGAGACCTTGAGAGGAAGTTGGAGAATGACTGGAGTCAAATAAAGAGCTGCAAAGGGCTGAAAAGCTGGCAGAATAAGGATCATCATCACTGACTGCTGGGGGTTCAGTGGAAAAGGGTTAAAGAGGGCAAAAGCCAGCAGTTTGAGATTTGAGGTTTTAATAGCCGACTGTATTATTTTCATACTTCTTATTGTTTTTCGTCATTAAAAGATCAGGCGTTGGAGGGGCAGACAGCATTTACTGTCAGCTGCAAGTTCTTGTAGCTTTGGAAATGCCTCAACTTTCCCTCTTCTGGTCAAATTCCAAATGTTTCCGATCCATATATTTGTGAGTCTCAGAACACGTTGTGTTTTGAGCAGGAGAAGCGTTTCGTCACTCAACCAAGTGACTTCTTCAGTCTCAGCTGACTGCAGGTTTCCCCGACCTTATAAACAGTGCATCTGCATAATGACTGAAGCTAGCACCTACTGCCTAACAGTTAATTTTGTGGGATTTCCTTATCTGGGTGATTGAGCATGCATCAAGGCAAGTCTCTAGATTAAGCTTTACTCGCAACTCATCAGATATGAATGCTTCTAAGCAAATGGAAATCCTATAAAGGAAGAGCTGTACAGGCCTGATTGCATGTTAAGAGACTTGATCTGAAATGTAGTGTGCAGCCTAACCCCAACCCCGCTGGGGTTCATCAGTGACCTGGCAGATGTTATAAGGTGGAGGATCTTTTTGTGTCTCACTAAAAGGCACAGAGTAACTTTTAAGCCTCAATTTTCAGCATGCATTGTTATTTTCTGTGCAGATTTTCTTTTCCCAGACCTACCTGAGCATCTTTGGTGCACAAACTGACACTAAAACACAAACAGAAACCAGTGATTTATGTCACTGCCACCACTTCTGCTTCCTAATGCTGTCTTCATCGCCCTTTTATGGCGCTGATTACCTCTCTGAAACCGTGCTCTGTACCGAAGCTGAGAGATGCCTGATGTTGACAGAATCTCAGTATTTGGCGCCGTGGAGTTAGCAGTGAACACACTGAAGGCTTTTCAGGTCTTGGGGTGATTTTACGGTTTACCATCCAAAGGTTTATTGAACTCTTTTCTCCATAAAGACGACATCTGATGACCTCCTCTGCACCCTTGGCACTTCAGTATAGGTATAAAAACGTAGTTTGACGACCATTCGAGTAGATTCTGGGTTTTTTCCAGAGTTCAGGTGAGTTCAGAAAAGAGCTTTAAAAACCTTCTAAAATGATTTCATTGCTTGTTATTTTTCACCCATCTGACATCCATCTTTGGATCTCTAAGGTTATCTTGATCTTGAGAGCTGGGAGAGCGCAGCGTAGATGTTCAACAGGCTTCAGGATGTACCTTGTAAGCATTTTGTCCTCCTAGGTGGTCATTTTATGCTAAATTCAGAAGGCTCCATGCCTGCTACTTCCCCTTCCCACTTCCAGGTATTGCTCACTACAAGGCTTCATTACTACATGCTGCACACCAGATTCAACATAAACACAATGTGACTCCAATTTAGAGCTTTGTTGGCACACATCCAGTGTTTGGTTGTCTCTCGCAGCAAAATCAGGAAGTATGTGTGTAAACTGCTGTTGGAAATGCAGATTTACAATCACAGAGTAGTGAGGTGTGTGTGTTTGTGTGTTATCGGTGTGTGTGAGAGGATAAACACATTTAACACTCACACAATGTGACGCGTAGGCTGGGAAAACACTGGAAACGTTTCTGTGGCGCGGTGACGTCCTCGCCACGGCAGCTGTCGGTTTAAAGCAGCCACACAGTAAAAAATGGAGTGTCAATATTTCAGAGTAAACCTATTTTAACCTAGATAGAGTATTTACAACTCTATGAGGAGTAAACCAGCTCTAACATCAGAGTTAAAAGTCAGTGTAAAGTTTGTTAGTCACGCAGTGAAGACTTCACTCCACACAGTGTTGATTATAACCAGTCCGCAGGCGTGTGTGGCCTCAGAGCTCTAATGCGCAGGGAATTTTCTCCGAAGAGCTGCCACAGTCAGGTAAGTGAAGTTAACATTCCCATACTGGTAACATTGTTTAAAAGGTATTTTTAAACTAAATAGCTCTTTATAGTTTCACTGATGTCGAGTGAGGACATGTTAGCAGCATTTACCCATAGGTTTAATGGCATTCCAGTAGCTACATGCTAGCAGTTGCTAAAAGTTAAGATGTTCGTTATCTTCTCACTGCGTTAATATGAACCTAAAACATTTTAACTATGTATTTCTTCTAAATGCTGTCTAAATAATGTCATTGTCACATGTCAAATCGCACAGTTTGAACAACTAAATTACCGTTTATCAGTAAGCTAATAATCGCTAATTAGCTTACATGAGCAAACATACTTTCAGAAAAAGTGGGTAACATTACCATAAAGTTAACTTTACTGGTTTATATTATTTTAAGCAAATGCCAAAGGCATACACTACTTTAGAGTTTTGCTCATTATTTAGTAAGAAATATGTATTTTGTGTAAATTAACTGATAGCAATGTTAATGACATGTTAAGTAATATTAAGTAATGTTCCTATTTTATAGAAAGGTTTAAGAGTATGGACAAACCAAATCTCTGAGAGATGCAACCAGAAGACGGATGAGAAACATACTTGAGGCTGAGATGACAGAATGACATGGGTAAGAATCAAAAATGTAAGATATAAAGAAACATTTTAAACATTGTATTATTTTTAATTGTGATGTTTAATGCCAATTATTGAATTTATACATTAGGACATCTCCCCCTAAAAGCGTAAGAGTGATGTATGCGCAGGACATTGTTGCTCTGTCTCCATATCTGGAAGACCCATATTAACAACATGGATATGTAAGTAAAGGGAACTTTTCAACATTAAATACATAATTGCCCTCAGAAATGTTGATAACATAGTCCTTCTTCGTTTATTTAATTACATAGAAACATTACTACGATCCAGAGAACAGTTCAGGATACATTGCATGGCGGTTGAAGACCATTCAAAGAAAAGCTGTGGAGGAAAGAAGCGTCTCAGTTTGCAAATCTCCCAAAAGTAAGTTCACTTATCATTTAAATGATACTGATGTAATTTGTAGGCAGGATTCAATCAAACACCTCATTAGTATTTTTGCATTACAGATAGAACAAGATTTCCGACTCCTGTTTTGTGAGGTCACTGGGAGCAAATTCTTGGAGAGGTGGCTCACCAATCTCAAAGCAAAGGTTGTAAAGGAAAGTCATGGACTTGTCTCCACCTCAGAGCTCTTGGAGTTAATGTGCAATGCTGAGTCAGGTACTGAAGTTGAGAATGGTATGATTGTGACTGTTTTTATTTGCCATTGTTGGTTATATAGGTAATTCTGTCAATTCAATGTATTTTTGGAATAATTCTTTGTTTATTCGTCTGTAGGCTGGGACAGTGACTTGTCTACTATCTTGCTGCTGCTACATCTGCTACCACCATCTGCACAAGGGCGAAAGAGACCAGGAAAGATGTCTGCATCTCAAGCTGTCAATAACCTCATCAAATTCCCAAAGGTATGTTGTTTAAAATATACTTTCCATCACCTCTATTTTCATGGACAGTGAGTTGAGCTAATCTACTGTCAGAGGATAGTCACTTAATACTGTTGTTTAATGTGTTGTTGTAGGCTGGAACCAGTGTACAGCAGCATCTAGACAACATCACCCGAAGCAGTCAGCCCTACCTTCGTACTCAGGGATCCACAAGAAGCAGCATTCACACCTTCATTGTGATTGAGAAGCATGCACTTCCATGTAATGCGACAGGTTCTGTAGGAGCCCTTGATGAACTCTTTAGGGCCCATTATGTTTTTGGTACATCATACAGTTCATCCCTGACCAACTTTGTTACTTTTCTGCAACTACGACATTGGGGAAATGTCATATTGCTTTCTCTAGTGAGCATCATAGAACTGTGAATTGTAAAGGTTTGTTACGTTAATTAAATGACACTGAATTGAGAAACATAATAAATGCTGTTACTTTAACCTGTATATTTGTTGTTATTTCCATAATGTAGGATAGATCACAGTTATTTAGTAATATAGCATCATAAGATGAATATGAAAAAAATCACACTACAGAGAAATAAAAATGATATATTATTACACATCAGAGTGTTATTATTAAACTAAATTTGGAGTAAAATAGCTCTATAAAGTGTAATCAAATTACTCTGAACAGTGTGAATAACCCTCAGTGTTAAATATTTTTACACATTTTGTTGTTAATTTTGACACTAAATTGAGTAAAATTAACACTGAAAAGTTAACACTGGCCATAGAGTAAATTTAACTCTAATTTTGAGTGGGACCAAATGTTATCTGAAGCAGAGTTAAAATCAACTCTGTAAGTGTAAAATTGACACTTGGTTTTTTACTGTGCACACACACACAGACACACACACCGCCTGAGGTCAGACTGACACGCTGGACATGCCGCACTGAAGCGTTTCCTTCTGACTGGTTTGAAGAGTGTGTGTTGAAAAGGGTGTGTGCGTTCTCCACGTCAGCTCTTGGCACACTCCGAGGGAGCCGGAATAACACACAGCACGTCTGTGATGACAGGATAATCGGATGTGTGTGCGCCCCAGGGCTGAGTTTAGCTAGCAGCAGCGACAGTTACAACACCTAAGAAAACTTACAGGAGGCCCATTACTGCCGTGGTTTTCAAGGAACTCTTGCATAAAATGTAGTGTAGCAAAAATCACATATTCTGATTGTCGAGGGTTAGGATAAGTTTATCTCGAGTGTCCTCCCAAAACGGTCCTTCAACCAAATTGGTTTGAAGTAGAGGCCCTCTACTTCAAACTGTTCCCTGCATCATGTGTTACATTACTAAAGTAAAGAGACAGGGAAAAGGAAATAAAAGAGATCACAGGGATCAAAAAACCACCCTCATCAACCTCCATCACCCCCAGAGGGGAAGCAGGGAGAGGGGAGTTAAAGAGCTGCTAGATACTGTTAGGTTGGGTTAGTAAAAATGGCTGGGTCAGGGGATCTGGTTGTGGTCATCCCAAGAGGGTTACATAAAGCAAAATAGCTCATTTGAACAGAATATAATAAAACAGCATTGCTTCATGAGGTAAAAATGACTCAAAATAAGCAAAAATCTAAATGAAGTACTATAAAAACTGAGTTTAGTACCATCAAGTGGCTCTATGAAGAAAAACAGGACATCTAATATACATACTAAACAACACAATTTAAACAAAAGTGGTTCAGAAACATCTTTTGAAAACCAGGATTGCAAATGTATTTAAATGAAGTGCAAAATATAACCTGATCTCTTTTAATGTGGCTTTTTTGTCTTTTGCTGAATTTATCCTAAAATAATAGCAGTGTATATATTAATATCCAGCAAACCTTTATTCTAAGTTGCTGTTGCTGAACTTGCTTATGCTCAACGCCCAATCATCTTCTCTCCTCTCTCCTCCCCTCGCCTCTTTTGTTGTCTCTCCAGCGTCTGATACCGAGCAGGATGCAGCGGTGAAACTTGACCAGGAGCGGGCTGAGATAGTCGCCAAATATGACAAGGTACGGCGAACGCTTCCTTCCGTCAGTGTGAAAGCACACAGAAGCTTTGGTGAAGCAGAAAACCCACAGCAATTACTTTTTTTTTTTCTCCCTCCTGTGGTCATCCGAAGCCAAATTCCAGCCACTCAGTCATGCTGAGACTCCACCAAACTTCATAACGCTGTGGTGAAATCCCTCCATAAATCACTGCCTTATTGCCCGTGAAACACAATAATAACAGCGTGCCGTGTGCACAATGTGCCGCCGTGTGATTTAATCATTTTCATAAATTTCGAAAGGCTGTGATTACTGCGCAAGAGCCACATTTCAGATGCAGCATTCTCAGTGAAAATTAACATGCAAATTATACATCTAAAAGCCACCGTTGTCTTTCCAGTGTGTGTGTGTTCAGTGGGCCGTGCGTTATCTGTGTTAGAGGGGCAGAGAACAACAAAAATCCCTCCTGCAGGCATGAAGGTTTGATAGAAAAGGGAGGAAGCGGATTCGAGTGGTTACTCATTAGACTAAATGAGTGGGTTAATGTGATGTCATGGGCATGGAATGATTTTATTGACTGGGATCCAGAGGTGGCAGTTCCTTCATCCCAAAGCACTTGAATCAGGGGCGTCAAACACGAGATCCACCAATGAATCCCGTGTGGTCCACTGGGTAGCTTTGCAAAGTGGGAAAATTGAATTAAATTTAGTAAATAAATTTAATTTGTTAAATAAAGTGCACAGAAACCCACCGCAGGGATGCCAGCATCACTACACAGGAGTGAAAATGTCTGCAGATGTGCACTTTTTCCAGATCTGAAGTAGTTTGGATCATAAAGTTGCTGGTATCTTGATCTGTTGTGATCCATAAATTGTAATGTGCAGTGACTGAAGGGTGAATATGGCAAATTAGGCACTGCTGGAAAAAGTACTTACTTTGATTTCTTGTCCAGCCCACTACAGATCAAACCAGGCTGAATGGGGCTCTTGAAACTGAAGAGTTTGACAGCATACGGTGCTGTGCAAAACCCTCAGTTTCTTTATATGTTGCACCCAAGTAGTAAGACTTTTTAGTAGTTAGTTTTCAAAGCGGTCTTGAGCAAAGTTTTTCTTTGGACATTGGCTGCTTTTTCACTCATTTTCACTCCAGTTATTTTTTGTTTAATCAACTAAACACTGACCTATGAATCATTCAAGCATTAAAAAGGCATCTAACCAAAGGGATGAACCAGTGTTCTGTCTGTTCATGACAAACTTTGCAAAGAACCCATTTTAAATTGTGTCTTTAGGCACTTTGCTACTAGCAGCCTGTCACCAAAACAGATAATTTCTTCTTAAATTTAGGCTATAAAACATGACAAAGACTGGATTAAACACAGGAATAACAAAGTTCTTTGGGAATAAAGTAGTTCCCAAAGAATTATTAGCTGAAAACCTGACATGTCTGTGTTTGGTGTGCAGTGTGTCCTTAAAGAATTTCAGAAACAGGACAAGTGGATTACAAATGATCGTATGATTATGAATGGCCTCATTTTTCAGCATGACTCCAAACACGCCGCCAATGCAGGAAGAGCAAACCTGGAACATATCAGTCATCAGTGTGTTGTGTCTCCCTGTGTGTTTATCAGTGTTGGGACTAACGCTACAGTAACTACGTTATTATTGTGGTAACGAGCACGGTAACTAGTTATTATGCCAAAATCAGGAACGCGTTACTCGTTACTGGGATTTAGATAGGGTCGTTACTCGTTACTTCGTGTGGTGGCTATCGCGGAGCTTCCACAGATTCAGTAACATTAGCAAGTGGTGGAGGCCAGCAGGTGGATGAAGGAAAAGGGACGCAGAAGGAAAAGAGACCCGAGGCGGCCGCCGGTGTTCCAGATCTACTGGCGTTTAGATCAACTGGCGTTGGTCGAACAGATGTGTGGCAGTCTTGCGTTTCAGGAGCTGCTACTGACAAACCAGCAAAAAAAAGCCAAATGTGTCATCTGTGACACTTGTGAGGTTGTCTCAAACACACTCCGTCAGTCTTGATGCTGTTGAACAACAAAATGTTTAAAAATGTGGCGAGTTTACCTGGTGATATCCTCATGCGCGACGCGATCGCGAAAACAGCAAACAAGTAACACCACGCCGTTGTTGTTCACAGGACAGCAAGAGTAAACGATCGGGAGACTCTTGTCGTCGTCATCGTTCCCCTCGCACGGTTTATTTCTCCGAATTCAGCGTTTTTGCTTCACAACTACAGCGAGCTGTTTACTTTGTGCACTAACATGGAGTCGAGTCAACCAGCGCCACCTCTGGCCAAGTGCCACAGCCTACAGCCAGATCAACCTGTGACACACATCTGCACCACGTTTGAATTCGTGTCATGCACATTTGTACCTTTCAAATTTGTGTTTGTGCGTCATGCAAATAAACCTTTGGAAAGAATGAAATGATATCATGTATTTATTATCAGCCTACATTTGTACAAAATTCCAAATTATATACACAAAGTCATAGAAATCACCACTCCAATTGGTCATCATGATTTTAATATTCTCTTTTTCCATAACAATGAAATACCCCTTGGACAAATATGACACATCAATATTTCATTAGTGTTGTCACATCACATCCTGTAAGCATCGTCTGTCTGTGTCTTTTCCCTGAAAATGAATATTTCCAGCCAATATAGGCAATTCATCAACATGGCTGGAGTTA